AGGAGCGAAGAACCAGCATCAGGCAGGTCTCTGGGAGGGCTAGGGTGAAAATCACCCCCCAGCTTTGGGGGGTTCATTCAGCAATGCCCCCAGAGACATAAAAGCCCTTAGCGGTGTCCAGCTCAAGGTGGGGCTGAAGAGAAATGCAGCTTTTGGGAGGGAGGGGAGTGCTGCCACCTCCCCCAGAGGAAAGAGGGAAACTGAGACACTTAGTGCCAGAAGAATGCAACAACTGAAATCTCATTTCTTCCCCCATCCTGGGCTTCGCTCACACGGTGCTGACCCTTCCTTCCACCTCTGGCTCTGCCCTGCAGAGACCACTCCGGGCTAGCCCCCAGCCCTGCTCTGCATGGCCCTGGTGGCAACAGAGGAAGGGAAAAAAACCCCACAACTCCCCCACCCCCATCTTTGCCAGGCCCTTCCCTCTGCACGTTTTCCAGCTGAACATCTATGACAACCTCCCAGTGAAACTGGATTTGTTGGGAGAACAGACGCCACAGAGGGAAGGTGGCCAGCCCGGGAATCCTTCTGGAGCCCATCCATCAGCCCAGGGGGAAATGCCAGTAGCACCTTTGAATAAGCCCCTGTGGAACCAGCACTGCTGCAACTGTTGGGGAGCCCTGCAACTTTTCCCCCTGAGCAGCAAACTGCACAGTGAGGGGCCCCTTTGTCAGTCTCTCTTTGCACCAGTGGCTGCGTAAGACCATGAGATGGCTATAACCAAAATGAACAAAAAGCCCCAGTGCTGGTGCTGGGCTGACAGGCATGGAAGGAGATCAGAAGGTGGAAGGAGAGAGGTGTTGGACTGCTGAGCTGGGACCCTGCTGCACTTGGGGACCCCTCCGTTGCCTTGGCTGTCACCTTCAGTTGGTCTCTGGGGGCATCCAGCTCATGGCTGGGACACTGACAACATCTCAGGCATCACCCATCACTTGCAAGTTGCCCTGCTCCCCTCTCTGCCAAGGCAGGGCAGCAGTGGTGGTGCAGGGAGGGTGACACAGAAGGTGACAAAGTCCTGGCTAGGGACAGGGATGTGGTGTGGCATCGTTTTCCTCCTGGTGGTAAGCCCCAGTTTTGGGGATTTACAATCCGTTGAGCTGCACGGGACGTTAGGGGAGATGCTGCTGGAGGTGTGGGGCACATTAAGCAGAGCTATCCCAGCTCCCTGCTGCTCCCTGCTGCTCCCTGCGTCCCTCCCTGCACCAAGGCTGTCGTCTTAGGCTGGAGGCATAAAGTGGAGACAGGGAAACGACGGGCCTTGAAAACCCTCTCATGTCTCGCTCTGACAGCTGCAGACTGCCCATTCATCTCCGGCCCCATTGACTCACCTCCTTCAGAGTCCCTTGAAACAAGCCAACAGCTCTGGCCTCGATGCTGCGCCCCACTGAAAGGGCTGCCCAGGGCACCTGCCTCACCCCA